TCCTGCTATGGGACTATTCATCAGCGGTAGTGCGCATCCACGAGTTCTAGTGGGAAGAGGTGACCAGTGAAGTTCAACCTGTTCGGGTGCAGACAGTTACTACTACCGAAGACTGTGTATGAGGTTGCGCAACTCCGTGAATTTGATCAAGTTAGACATTAACACGGTTAAATACCGGCCCAATGGTCCGATGGTTAGGCGTTCGCCCACAATATCGAAGGTCCACTGGGTTCGAATCCTGCGGGGTGCAAGAGTCGTGGATGCGCACTACCGCTGATGAATAGTCCCATAGCAGGAAGAAACAGCCGTCTTTCAGTGCTTTCAGGTTTCTTTCTAATGGTTGAAAACTGTGTAACTTAAAAATCTAGACAACCCCGTAATGCACATTGAAACATGTTTGTTTGTTTTTATTACAAAAAGTATGAAAGAAGAATATTCTTTTTTTATCATTGAAGATTGTGTATGTAACTGAAAAAAAACAAGTATCAATAAACAAATTTACAGGTGTTTTTCTTTTTGCTGTAAATATTTATTCGTTTTAAACAAATATTTAAAATTTCAAATGATTCAATATACAATGGTGATTGATAGTAGTAATCTGGTCAAGGTCACTTATGGGAGATCGGTATATTGATTGGATGTGCTATTTTGTATTTTTGTTACGAAAAAAAGATTGAATTTTATAAAGAAATGTTTGTGAACTTGAAGAAACACATTGAAATTGGATAAATTATGGCGGATATTTGAATATCAATTGAATGATGTGAAATTAAATGCTTACTTACTTACTTACGCCTGTTAGCCACCCAATGAAGCATAGGCCGCCAATCATTTTTCTCCAATCAACTCTGTCCTGGGCTTCCCTTTCCAGTTTTTGTTCATTCTTCTCATGCTTTTCTCTGTTTCCCGGTGTAATGTGTTCCTTGGCCTTCCTCTTTTCCTTTGACCTTGAGAGTTCCATATGAGGGCTTGCCTTGTGACGCAGTTAGGTGCTTTTCGCAGTGTGTGTCCTATCCACCAACTTCACCACTTCTTCCTGATTTCCTCCTCCACTGGAATCTGGTTTGTTCTCTCCCACAGTACCTTGTTGCTGATGGTGTCTGGCCGACAGATCTGAAGTTTTTTGCATGGACAACTGTCAATGAGTACTTGTATCTTCTGGATGATGGCTTTGGTAGTTCGCCAAGTTTCCACACCATACAGTAGAACTGTCTTGACATGTGTATTGAAAATCCCGATTTTGGTTTTGCTTGAAAGTTGTTTGGAGTTCCAGATATTTTTCAATTGTAGAAATGCAGACCTTGCTTTGCTGATCCACGCCGTCACATCTGCATCCGATACACCTTTCTCGTCGATGATGCTGCTCAGATATGTAAAGTTGTTAACGTCCTCCAAGGCAGCATCTCCATCAACAGTGATTTTATTGGCGCATGTTGTGTTTTATCGTAGAATCTTGCTTCTCCCTTTATGTATGTTGAGACCTACTGCTGCAGATGCTGCTGCTACACTGATCGTCTTCTCTTGTATTTGTTGCTGCGTGTGCGATAGAAGAGCCAGGTCACCTGCGAAGTTCAGATCGTCCAGCTGCATCCTATCTGTCCATTGGATACCATTCTTCTTCACTCCAGATAGAGGCATAAAACTAAATGCACTTTTTACAATGTCTAGAAATTTTAAGCTCAATCTCTACATGATCAATGGTAGTAAAATGGAGTGAGAAAAAAACTATCTGGTTCTTCAGTGGTCTTTGTCTAATTAGAACAATCTTGAATTAACTTTTATTGATGAATTATAGTGTTGTGGAGATTGTTGAATTACGTTTTGAAATCAATGTTAGACCACACCATCAGAAACTTGGAGGCATTCAAGGGACATTTCGTCCTGGTATATGGGACACATAGTCAGTACGCATCCAGGACTCCTGCCAGCTCAGTAGTTCGGAAGTTAGGTGTTCACACGCAGAGCCGAAGGTCCTGGGTTCGAATCCTCCAAGTAGCAGTAATCTTGGGTGCGCACTGCTGATGAGTCCCAATCCAGGACGAGACGGCCGTCCAGTGCTTCCAGGTTTCTAATGGTTTAGTCTAATATTGATCGATTCATGGTTTCGAAAATGTGTAACTTAACAATCTTCACAACCGCGTAATGCAAATTACCTGTGCTCACTAGTGATGAGCCTCGTGAGGAATCTTTTCCGAGTTCTAGTGGGAAGATGTAACCAGTGAAGTTCAACCTGTTCGGGTGTAGGCAGTGTCTACCGAAGACTGTGTATGAGGTTGCGCAACTCCGTGAATTTGATCAAGTTAGACATTAACACTGTTAGATACCGGCTCAGTGGTCTAACAGTTAGGGCGTTCGCGCACAATACCGAAGGTCCCGGGTTCGGT